TTGCTATGTACTGAAACATGAAACCAGCCGCCCCCGAAGCCCCCTTTTTAAAAGACATTAATGACAACTTGCCAAAATATATATTTTTTTTAATTAACCAGGAGGTATTCGTTTTAATTATATGTACTGCTGTGGACAACTGCATATCCAAGAAATAATTTGGCTTCAGTCTTCAGAATGGCCGTAGATTTTGCTTACCTAAATACATTTGTACATCTCAGTGTTTATAGGCCTAATAATAAATGGTTGTAAAGATTCGAAGTATAACATGAGGGGTGGGGTGGGGAAGGGGGGATTCTGGAGTGCTCAGTTAAAATGAATAATTTGATCAATAAATAAAAATTAATAAGAAGTTGTGAGTTTCGAATTTTGTTGCTTTGTACATTTTGAACTATTTGTTTTGATATAAGACTAATGTTCAAGGATAAAGTAACAATGCGACAGGAACGAAATCGTGCATTGATCAATATACAAAATATTATTTTATGCTGAAAAACTGCAGTAAAATGCTTTCCCTTTGAATTTGTTCTTGCATTTTAATTTTTTAATCCTTTTTCAAGGTGTAGAATTGCTAATTTATTATAAGAGCAAAGCAACCTTCAGGTCAGATGTGAGCAAACTTCATCGTGAGTGAAGAATATGTGTACTCAAATGGTATAGTATAGGCCACTGGTTGGCAAAATGAGGCTCGCGAGCCGCATGCGGCTCTTTAGCGACCCGAGCGTGGGTTGGCCAGTCAGTAACAAATCGGTTTTGACTCCGAAAAACATTGCACATTACCTAAAAAGCAAATAAAATTGGGAGTTTTTACTAATAAAAATATGTTATATATTTGATGATGTCGTCTAACCATATGTAATCAATTTGTTAAACACAGGCAAGATCAGCTAAAGTTTCTGCACACAAAAATCTCATTATCAATTACAATAATCATATAAAATAATAATTTTGATAATAAAATGATGACCCGGGAGAAGCAGCCATTTTATAAAATTAACTTGAAATCCACCCTTTGTGATTTTTTTTTTTTTTTTTGTTTTTGCTTTTAATTGATACTTCCGGTACAGTTTCTTTTTTTTATTCTAAGTTCAATAAATCTCTTTAATTTTTTCATTATTATTTCAATGATTTGTTTTATTTGATCTTAAAGTAAATCCACCACTGCTTCAAAATGGTTAAGAATCCCTGGCCTAGAGCATTTACTAAGATCAACCCCCCCCCCCCCAATCAAGCATTTTTTTTCGTTTCATCCCACTTCACGCGGTACTCCTAATTCTATGACTCCCGTCTCCACATTTTGACATAAATTCTCTCCACTGTCAATGTCAATACACCAATTTTCGCCCCCTCCGTGGCAGCCTGTAACTTGATCAGCAGACAATCAGACTCAGAGACCATTTTTTCAACCTCCCATACCTGTACTGTTTCTATCATTGATCGTAATTAAAAAATTAAATAATTATACTTGTAATTTAGGTTCCACATTTCATGTGACATCACATTGCTTTAGTGCCCCATCCCCCTCGTCACATATCGTCACAAAATTGTGACCACCCAACTTTTTTTAGACGCGTGACGTCATGCATGGATGGCCCATTATTGTTTTTATGGGTTACAAAGGCAACAAATGGAATTATTTATTTTAAAACTTGTTTTGTCCCTCCATTATAACACTAAAAAAAGTGTAGGTACAAAAAAAGTCCCGTATGAAATCAAAAATAAAGTGTAGAATTTTCACCATCACCTCCCCTTAACATACCTTTGGCTTCACATCACTTTGCAACTGGATTTCAGTCAGTCTGTTCTCTCACTACCTCCTTCAAAAAAAAAACCCACCCCACTTCACATAAATCGGTATCTTTTTAAACTCTCTTTTAAAATTAATTTCCACAACACAACAAAAATCCTAAATAAAGTGAAAAAGGTAGTAGGGACATAATTTGGGTAGGCCAGGGAGGGGCATTGCCCTTCCCCTACTATTACCCCATGACTTTGCAAGAGTTCTTTTCCACTAGATATCAGTAATTAAGAGAGCAGAAAATCAAACGTAGCAGAAAATAAATAAGGGGGAAAAAAAGAACCGTTCGTTCATTTAAAATTAACAATGGGAAAAAAAATCATAATCAGGCCTTTCTTAATTAATTGAAATGTACTTTGGCGCCTCCAGTAATAAACAATTCAACAGGTCAGGCCAAGTTTTAGCGCCCCCCCCCCCGAAAAAAAATGAAATTTATTGATTGATTTGATAAAAAAGAACCGTTCGTTCATTTAAAATTAAAAATGGGAAAAAAAATCATAATCAGGCCTTTCTTAATTAATTGAAATGTACTTTGGCGCCTCCAGTAATAAACAATTCAACAGGTCAGGCCAAGTTTTAGCGCCCCCCCCCCCCCGAAAAAAAATGAAATTTATTGATTGATTTGATATGTATATCGCGCCGGTATCCATGCCATTGTAGCATGCTCACTGCACTCTGGTCCTCCGAAATCTATTTAAACAAAAAAGATTTTAATTGTTTCTTAAATTATTTTTTTATCATTTACAATCCCCTCAAAGATTGAGGCAAACTGTTCCATAATTTTGGCACTATCGCTTCAAAAGAGCGCACTCGTACGACTTTTTTCTGTGTTCATCCACACTAGGAACACTCAGCAAGTACTGTGATGAAGATCGCAGGCTCTTCACGGATACATGTTTATAAATCAGTTCCTTGAGATATTCCGGTGCTGAGCCATCTCTGCAGCTGTACGCCATGGACAGAATTTTGTAGTTAATGCGCTCACTCACAGGAACCCAATGGAGATCTCATAGAACTGGGGTGATGTGGTCAGATTTTTTCATCCGCGATACAATGCGTGCTGCAGTATTTTGTATCTTTTGGAGTCTCTGAATTTGGTTCTGAGGTAAACCCCACAAACAACTATTACAGTAATATAATCTTGAATGAATTAGAGTTACTGCTACAGCATTGGCTGTTCTCTTATTGAGTTGAGGACGCAGCTGACCCAGGGCTCGCAGATGACAGAAGCATGCCTTGACAACAGAACTGATATGGGGAATCATACTAAGTTTACTGTCAATATAAAAGCCAAGGTCTCTGATAGTTGAGGACAACAGGATCTCTGATTCACCAACTTTTATTGATGCAATGATAACTTTTTGAATATTGGCGTCTGAACCACAAATAATTGCCTTAGTCTTATCATCATTTAATTTTAGTCTGTTTGATGACATCCAATCTTTCACAGCAAGACAGCAGTCCTCGACAGCCTGAACAGCAGTAGCACACTCCAAGGGATCAGGGCGGAAACACTTGTATAGTTCTGTGTCATCTGCAAATATTTTGCGGGAAATACCATGACTTTCAATAATTTTGCCGAGCTGGCTAGTGTATATGGAGAACAGAATAGGTCCTAAAACTGAGCCCTGTGGCACACCACAAGTAACGGAAGTGTCCATGGAAGATGCCTGCCTCACCACAATACGCTGAGTCCTGTCAGTCAGATAAGAAGAAAACCAGCGAAGTTCAGTTCCAGTAATGCCTGCCACATTCACAAATCTTGACCGAAGAAGCTCATGGTCGATCACATCAAAGGCAGCACTGAGATCCAACAGAACCAAAATTGTCAGATCACCCCGGTCAGCAATACAAAGAACATCATTCATAACATGGAGTAGTGCTGTCTCACAGCTGTGCCCAGGTCGATATGCAGATTGAAACTTGTCAAGTAAGTCATAAGTGTGTAGATGCTTCACAAGCTGCCGTGATACAACTCTCTCAAGAATCTTAGATACAAAGGGCAGGCTGGAGACCGGGCGAAAATTCGTGCAGTCATTTGGGTCCAGACCACTTTTTTAAAGCAGAGGCTTAACGACTGCTGTCTTGAAGAGACGTGGGACTGTAGGAGACTGAAGGCTAATATTCACGATGTTTACCAGTACAGGAAGCAAGACTTCCAGACAGTCAAAACAATCTTGGTTGGGGTGGGGTCAACAATAGAAGATGTAGGTCTAGATACCATGATTATATTTCTTAGTTGTTCATGGGAGACTGGGGAAAATTCCACCACATGGTTGCCTTCAAAGACTTTCTCCACCGTAGACAAATCACAACGTTCCCCAAAGCTCCTTCTGATTGTTTCAATTTTTTCAGAGAAAAAATCACTCGGTTTAACTGCAGCTTGTTTGTTTCTCAAGTCAGGCAAAACAAGGGGTGTTGCTTTCTTCCCAAGAAGGTCATTCACCACAGAGAACATCTTGCGATAATCAGTACCTGCTGCCGTAAGGAGAGATTGAACATGCTCAGACTTTGCATGCTTGATTTCTTGCGCATACATGTTGCGTGCTTTCAGAAATGATAGTTTGTCAACTTCACGGCCACTCCTTCTCCAACGCTTCTCAGCTACACGCCTAACAAGCTTGGCCTTCCGAAGTGTGGGAGTGAACCAATGGGAGTTAGATCTGTCACTAACAAATTTATTTGACACTGGGGCATATGTGTCCAACAGAGAAATTAGAGTCCTATTGTAGAGAAGGACAAGTTGTTCAATATCTTCAGGTGGTGACTTCACGTCCCTGAAAAGGGGGATGAATTAAATTGATTATGTAACTTTTAGTGCTGTGGTCCGTTGATAACATATCCCAAAAGGTAGTGACCAACAGCCAGGATTTATCCTAGCGAGAAACAGATGCTGAGAAATAATAAATAAGATTATGATATGATCATGGCATTCATGGTAAATATAGTATTTAAATTTTAAACTGATTTTCGAAAAAATAAGATAAAAATGCACATTTTTACCCCCCCCCCCTCAAAAAAGATTCACATTTTCCAAGTTCTCAATTTATGGAATTTTTTAAAGCTAATCCAAATTTATATTTTTTGTCTTTTTTTTTTTAACGGTGCAAAATAAGAAATCCAGTTTTTTGTTCGTTTTGTTTTTAGATTTTATATTTTTAAATTGCCCAATGTTTTTAAAAACATGGAACTGTCTGAGAACAAAAAAGATGGCAGACGGTAATGATCTAGTTATGCTTGAAATGGAGGAAAGAGAGGAGCGTGAACATTTTGCTCGTGTTATTAACTCCTTTAAATTTTACAAGTGAGACGATTTTGTTATTAGCTTCAGATTTTGCCATAAATTTGATTGATAATTTTGTTCTACTTGTTGAACCAGATATTTAAAGTGTTTAGTTTAAGTTTAGTACTTCCCAGGTCAGACGCTTGTACTTGTAATTGTTCCTTGTTGTCTGTTATTGAAAGTGAAACGAAAGCGTTATTGTTTGTTGTTGACATCGCGGATGTAAAGCCATTATGGCAGTATGATGAATATGGGGATGGGAATTATTAAGAAACAATGGTAAAAGAATTTGAAAAAAAAAAGAAGACAGCATATCAGATGATAGCAGAGGATATAAACAGACACCTACATTCTACGTCTACATCTTCAACAGAAAACAACTGATGAAATAAAATGGCAAAAAAAAATGAAAAAGTAAAGCCCTCTCATTCTTCATCTTAATGTTTAGAACTAAAAATAAGTCAAAAGAGAAATAAAAATACCTCAGGTTTATCGAATACCACAGGACTGGAAGATGTTTAGTAAAAGTAAGTAAAGAAGTAGGTTTAGTAGGTGTCGAAATTCAAACTATTATTAATACAATGAACAGTTTGATTCAACACTGCTTCCATCCTTATAATAGTTTATCCATCATATTAGTATAATGAAGTATTATGTGGCATGTAGGTGAAGAGGGAGCACACCCCAGTCACCAACATTAGGGGATGCCAAAATCTTCTTTAGATTAAAGAACCTTAAAAAGTAAATTTTAGGTTAATATCCCATGTACTTCACTAGACAAGTGGCACCATAATTGTCTTTTTTCTGGTATGCATTTTTCCATGGCATGGTCTTGATTATGAGTATGACTTAGGTATGTATGAGATAAGTCTTCAGTTTAAATATATTGACTTGGAGTATGCCTAAATTAAACTAAGTACAATTAACTATTCTAATGTGGTCAACTTGACAATAATATTAATGTTTTATCCGTCGCAGTATTCTGTTTATCTACTTCTAACTCTTTCCATGCCATGGGGTTTTTATGTTTCTGCCAGACCGGTTTTCGCCCAATGGCAATATTTTAGGTGCTTCTACTCTTATCAATTAATGAATTTTGAATAACGGTACCCTTTTTTTTAGTAAGATAGTTGTATTTCATATCAAATTAAATGAAATTAAACAGAGAATAATAGTATGTCAAAGATAAAACAATAAGACAGTTTAGATAGTTTAAATTTTATTGGTAATATTCTGAGATGAAAATCTTTTTTTTTTTTGGTATAATGCACACCAAATATGAACTTATCAGACTACTAAATGGTCTGAGTAGCTGGTATCCTATTCTGCTTCAATCACCAGAAATTATATCCATTTTTGATCAGAATGCATGTTACATTTTGAAAATATTCCATTTAGGGACAGAGTTAAACACATTTTTGTAACGTTAATGTCAACAGAAGAAAACAGTTTCTTTTCAATGTATATATACACAAATATTTTACTTTGGTAAAAATTTCTTTCTGTGTGGCCCTTTCTGAAGCACTCTTTAAATACACAGATGAGGCCTTCCTGTGCATCCAGTGCCCACAAAGCAGTCGTGTTTGGTTATTTTGTGCACTTCACAGTATGCACACTGTCAATCATGCCCGTCATAGTCAACCTGGTGCTTATTTTCACTAAGACTCTATTTGCACTGTTGATGAGCTTTTTCCCTGGCTTTGATAGAGTGGGCAGTAAAGGAATGAGTGTTTCAGGGTTCTGAAATTATTCTTCCTGCATCTTTTCTGTCTAATTTCTGACATCTCTTTGCAGGAACAGGAGTAGTATTATTTGAATCCTCAGTGACACTGTTGCCTTGGTAAAAAAGTGGTTTTGGAAAAATTCATAAATTTTGAACCATTTCGAACTAGAAAGTTGATCTTGGTGTTTTTTTAATCCATTCTCTAGGCTCTATACAGCTATGGTATTTTTATATTTAAAAAAAAAAAATTGAAATTTTTACTAAAGTGTGACTGTCACCACAATTACTATCACCATCACCATTCTATTTCCATTTGGCATTTACCGACCCACCAGAAAGCTGAAAACCATCACTGGAATCAGATTCAAATTCAAATTATTCATGGCTATTGTTCAATGTTTCAGCATCAATAAAGCTCTTTTGTTTTCAAACTAGACCGACCTACATGGTCTAGCAACAGCTGATGTGCTTGGAGTAGGCATGGCCACTGCTTTGTTTACAACAGTTTTAACACAAATAGAAAATAGGTTACAATTATTAGAAAAACACTTGTAAACAAACCCTTCTTCCAAAAGAAAGGAAGTAGGAAGTTCATTTGAGGACATAAAAAGTAAGATTGATAGCCGTAAACAAGGAAATAAACTACAGAAATTAAATCAACGATATATTGTCTCTTGGCACAAACGCGGCCAGTCTGATCGATGATATATCGATACATAGAGTTAACAAGCTAGGCTTATGCTTAGTCCACTACACTAACATTATATCTTAGTTTACATTGCAATGTGTATAAAACACAATTATTATTTTACTTATGTACAAACAGCACACTTGTTACTGTGACTCAGTGAGAGATGACAGGTAAAGAAAGGGACTTGATTGATAATGACTTCATTCAATTACAGATATTCATGTTTTTAAAACCTGCTTTGTTAAGTACCTTTGACTTTGAGCAAACAAAAGGATAATTTTGATTTAATTTTTAACAGAATGCACAGCTTGAAAAGATTGCAGTTGAGCAAAGTTTCCTACAATAACCTGAGTGAACAGCACAAAAATAGAATTCTAGGATATATGGACAACATCGATACAATTCAGACCTGCATTGTCCATAACTATGAAGTGATCAAGCTTATTCTTCAGGACTGCCAATATATGTTTCTCAACAAGGATGAATGCATAACAGATGGTGTTTGTATACTTTAAAAAAAAAAATTCTTGCTTATTAATTATTTACTCTAATTGTTGTCAATCTTAAATACAGGCAAATCTTAAACTTACAAAAATCTTCAAACAGACTCTTATAAATTGGTTCAAACTTAAAATCTGTACAAAATACTAAATACTATTTATTTGTTTAATTTTCAGCCACATTCAGATATTAATTGAGTAAATTGAGTACACTTCAACAGTACAGTGTAATTCAGTGGCAGGACATTGTTGAGAAATTAAACAACCCCTAAAAAAATAATTGTTAGCATAAATCCTTTATAAATTATATATCAAGCAAGGGGTGGGGGGGGGGGGGAGTTGAAAATTTGTAAAAAAAATAATTTAAT